TCGAGTATGCCAGGATATTAGTTTACAGAGGCTGTTAAAATTATATGTCTAACGTTAAAATGTTGGTGACACAATAATTTCATCCTAATGGTACTGACATATTTATAGGGTTAATTTTGAGACAAAATATCATGAGGTAATCTTGATTTTGCAAATATTCCATCTTGTAGTGCAGTTTGCACAAATTGTTTTAAAATGCACTCACCCTACAAACATTACTGATGAGTCAAGATCTGCACAAAGTGACAGAAACACTGAAGCAGCTCCACATTTTATTCTTATTGTCATGCATGTCCTATTTGTCAGGTGATAAAGAGTAATGGTGATACAAGGTCACAGGTGAAATTGGATGACTTGGTGGTTCATGACTGTATTTGAAGCACATATGTGACTGCATGTATTTGGAATGTCTCACTGATTATTTATCAGGTGACAGAGGCAGCTCTGCCATGTTGTAGCTCGGACAGAGGTGAAGAGGTGAGATCACAGGTGACTGACTGATGATTTGGTGCTATAGATTAACTAGTATTTATTATCATGACAATTGTTAGGCTGCTGATGTAAATAGTTTCATTAGTGTATATTTGACAAAGAATCTGAATTGACATGTCTCACTTTTTATACGGCACGGATCAATGTGTTATTTTATCAGGTGGCAATATGTCCTAGTGCAGTCAGAGGGGAAGAGCCAGGGCCAAAGGTGAGGCACATCAAGCACAGAACAATAATAATAATTTTAATCTGAGGATAAAAGGCATGTACTGAGGCTGAAAGAAGCTTCAGTGCTCTCAGAAGACTAAAAAGATGGGTTAACAATGACTCAAATGAGATTAAACAATGCTGCTGTATGCCATGTCCACCAGGAGAGACTGGACAATATAGATGTAAAACAAATATGCCAGCGGTTTATCTCAGTTAACGAGAGGAGAAGGCATGTGTTTGGCTCCTTCACATAGTGGACATTGAGTTGTTGTGTGGGACACCAGTAGTCCATGTCTGTTGCTGTAACAGTAGTTCATGTTTAGAATAGAAAATCTCAGCTCACTGATCTGATTGGGGCAATAGTGCCTGAAATGTTGCATAATTTTGCTGAGAGATCTTTTACTTTGTGGTCATCTTAGATGAGTAGTTTTATGGACAAAGCCCACCAGGTCATTCAGTGTTCCCTTAGTGCTAATGTGTCAGAGATGTTGGTGTAATATAACTGAAGTAATGATGTTAAGTCCTTAAAGTCATATTCTTTTATTGTCATGACTGTATTTGAAGCTATTTTTATGTTTGTATGATACCTTATTTATATGGATT